CTGTTTCCTCAGCCTGCTTTTCTCTCCTCTGTGTGACAAACCCCTGTTAACCTTTAAGGCTGTTGAAATGTTTATTTGTTCATTCATCAAACCCAGTACTGTGCTAATTGAACTAGGTTTGACATATAAAACCAAATGGTACTCAATTCTCTCCCTCCAGAAACCTCCACTCTAATGGAGTAGATCAACATAGGAAGGATAATCAGTATACAATGCTGAATACAATGATTGTACAAAGTATTGTGGGAACATAAAGAAGGAGGGCAGCTCCAAGGAGTTGGGATTAAGTGTCTGAACGATGCCTGAGCTGAGTCAAAGGATGAGTTTGCCACACAGAAAGGGCAGGTGTTATACTTGGAGGGGAGTTTGAGCCAAGTCTGAAGAAAGAAAATAACCTTTTGTCTTTTAAGTCCTATGTAGAAGGTTCCAAATGCCTGTCATTGGATTACTCCAACATTATGCCTCCAGCTATTTTAAGTCCCTTGAATTACACTGATTTTTGAGTCCCTGATCAGAGACGTGGGGGAAAGGGCTTGGTGTTTTGGTATCCTCAGTGCAGGGCACCAAAAATTGATAACATCTGAGGATGGTACAGAGAACTGAGTCTTAGTTTCCATGAGTTTCCATGCAAGGTTGTGGTTAGATGCTTTTTGTGATTCTGTGGTTTGAAACCTGGGCATTTAAATTCCAGTGGGGGATGGGCGGTGGTAGAGAGGGTATGATTCATAGTTCTTTCTGGTTGATGTGTTGGGAACAAAGAATGCTTGCTGGCGATGCTTTTAGCCATGTAAATTCTCTTACAGTCTTTTGTATTTTTAATTTATTTCATCCTTCTATAAAAGCAAGTTGATTATAATCAGCTTTCAGTGTTGTTGGTAATATAAAGTTGAAAAAAATATGTAGTTTGGGTGACTCAGTGGAGCAATCACATTGGAATAACTGTGGATCAAGTAAATCTGTCTTTAAAAAAATAAGGACAACAAAACACCTCAGTGGTCAGATTGGTGATTTTTTTTAATTGTTGGGGATTCATTGAGGGTACAAAGAACCAGGTTACATTGCTTGCATTTGTTAGGTAAAGTCCCTCTTATAATTGTGTCCCACCCCCAAGAGGTGTGTCATGCACCATAACCCCACACCCCCTCCCTCCTTCCCTCTCTCCACTCCCTCATC